GGGCAGCGCCCGTGTTCCTCCATCGCTTCCTGGTCCTGAGGGGGCTGCCGGTGCCTCGGAAGTTTGTGTGGACAGGGCGGGGATGCTGACATCAGCCTGGGTTTGTCGGTGGCCGGGCCTCCGCTAAACATCGGGAAATGGCAGTAGCAGCAGCGGGGAGTCGAGGCACTTCTGGAGAGTATTTTGTTTGCCTTACCTGTGTATGGTGACCTTGCGCGGTCCGGTAAAGTTTGCTCCTCGCTGAGGAAACTGAAGGGGAAGGTTTTTCAGCCACCCCTTGTGCGAGAGGTTTGTTAAACGATTTAATTTGCTTTTCTTTTCCCCTTGCGAAAGATGTCCAGCAGTTGTACCTGATGAAGTAGGCAGTAGTGCAGTGCCTCTCCAGTTTGTGTCTAATGGATGGACAGAGCACAAAAACCTCTTTGTTGTCAGTGGGTCCTCAGTGCTGTGGTGCAGCAGGTGAACAAGTGCTCCCTGTCCACACAGATCTTAGTTCTTTTAAGTGGAATAAAATCTTTCAGAAGCTGTATTCATGCCTCTGCACTGCTTATACCAGTTTGAGATGCCCAACCAGCACCCAGAATGGGTAGTTTGGGCTTTTGCAGATGTGAGATCAGCTGTGGGTCCCAGCTATATGAAGGAGGCTTGGTCAATAATGGCATGGCTGCTTCAGGGCACTGTGCCCTCAGCAGTGGTGTAACCCGTAAGCACATGTAGGCGAAAGACCTGCACCTTCAGGAGGATATTTTTGCTTTCTCGTGGGAGTTGTCCTGTGTCTGGCGCAGGCTGACGTCAGTTGATGATACTGGTGTATGAGGAAAGCTGAAGTGGTGCTGAGAGTCTGGCGAAGTTATAGAGCAGAAGCCACTTTAGAATCAATTGACAGTAAAAGGAAAAGTGTTTTCTGGGAAATAAGGGGACAGAATTTCTTTGAAGAGCACTTTGCAAATGCAGTAAGGTATGAACACAGTTGTAGGTCAGATAATTGCACTTCCCTGTGTGGCTTTGAGTCATGCAGCTGGAATGTACTGTTATTATTTTTTTTAGTTTTCTGTGCACCAGCTGACTTGAATTAGCTCTTGGAGCCAATATGCCAAAGCACCTTCTCTTGCCAAAAAGTTCTGAGGTACTCAGTTGGAAGTTCTGTATTGTGCATTAGAGCCTGACTCTCTTCGTCATCTTCCAGTGCATCCACTCTGGCAGAGTCCGCTTACAATTCCTGGAGGCACCCGACAGTCTCCTATCAATATCCAGTGGAGAGACAGCGTTTATGACCCCTTCCTGAAGCCTCTGAAAATCAGCTATGACCCAACAACGTGTCTTCACATCTGGAACAATGGATATTCATTCCTGGTTGAGTTTGATGATTCCACTGATAGATCAAGTAAGAAAAACTCAGAAAAATCTATTTAACGTCTTCATTAAATGCTTAGGAGAAATACTTGCAAGTTGTAAAACCTTACGACAAGTGTTGGAAATGAATGTATAGTAAAAGAATGCTTTAGTATTTACAGTGGTGGGAATTGTAATGCAGAAGTTCTCTACAGGCCTCATTTTTACTAGGTATTTACTATCATGGACACTGTGCACAAACCCGCTGTTGCAGGTTAAGACTTATTCTTATTGCACAGGCCTTAATCCCCTACCTTTTGATTAGGTCTTGTAATATCACAGCTTTGTCTACATGAGTAAAACTTCAGTCGTATGTATCTACTTAATTTTAAATGAGATTCCATTATTATACTTTATTAAATAGTGAAGTGTGTAAGGTATTAAATAATAAAGTTACCTGCCACTTATCACTTTTGCACTGTTAACAGATACATTTGATGCAGTTGAAATAACCAGCAACAAAATGACTTTTGTTTGGAAAGCATACATACTTATCTCAATAAGCTCTTGGATAATTGAGTAATACTGAGTTGCTACCATAGGGAGCAGAAAGTGCGTGTGTTCCTGTTGATTTTAGTGTAAGCAGGAGTCATAGAATCATAGAATCATAGAATAGTTAGGGTTGGAAAGGACCTTAAGATCATCTAGTTCCAACCCCCCTGCCATGAGCAGGGACACCACACACTAAACTATGTCACCCAAGGCTCTGTCCAGCCTGGCCTTGAACACCTCCAGGGTTGGAGCATTCACAACTTCCTTGGGTAACCTATTCCAGTGCCTCACCACCCTCACTGTGAAGAACTTCTTCCTTATATCTAACCTAAAGTTCCCCTGTTTAAGTTTAAAGCCATTACCCCTTGTCCTACCACTACAGTCCCTAATGAAGAGTCCATGCATGCAAAATCAAATTATACATTCCAGTAATTTACTGTGAATAATCATTCTGACCTGAGCAGCTAAATCTTTTTTAAATGCTCAGCAGAGTGAGGTAACTGAAAATGAAGATATTGCTACCAAATTCCAGATTTTTTGTCCGTTGTTCCTTTTAGAAGTTGACTTTACCAAAGGATATTGCTGGTGTGTATAAAGAGGTAAAGATAGGTGAACTGGTTGCAGTTGGTCAGGGATATTGTGAAGCATAGGAGTCATGTTGATTACTTGTCTTGGAGGGAAAAATTGAGGAACTCGGGGAAAGTTTGAACCTGTTTGGTTAGAACTGTTTGTAAGGTGACTGCTTACAATGAGAGATGCCAGAACTTCATAAGGGATTTAGTAATGCTGGTTTGAACCTGTTTGGTTAGAACTGTTTGTAACGTGACTGCTTACAATGAGAGATGCCGGAACTTCATAAGGGATTTAGTAATGCTTTTGGGAGGGAAGCTTTCAGCATGCTTTGTCTGCACAATACCAGTAGTTTTGGTTGATGTTTTGAAAGAGGCCGATGAAACAATATAGCAAAAACGGTTTGTGTGACGTCTTTCAGGGGCTTGTGTGACGTCTGGGGTTCTTTTTGTTTTCTTGTTTATAGCTGTTCCCCCAGAATAGTCATTTCCAACCAGAGAATATTCTTGCCTTTGTTCATTTGAGTGCTGTTCTATGTATGAAGAAACCAAGTAGTGCTCTTGTGTTTTTTCCAGTACAAACTGCTACTGCATTAGTGAGGTAGGTTAGAGGAGAGACTAAGATGGAGACATCACTTGTTAGCTCATCAGTGATTTTAACTTACTAACTTTAGATTGGTTTTGCTTTAATTTAACAGTCCTTTTTAATTTAACAGTCTTTTATTCGATACAGCCATATCCCAGTATCTGTTGAGGATGCATTCCTGAAGTGTAATAGTTTGCAGTTTGATGGATAACAAAGTTTTTTTGTTTTGTTTATTTGTTTTCCCTGCCAAGATTGATGTAATGGAGGAGAATTGCCTGCAGGAGGTTAACAAATACACAACGTTTAAATGCGCAGGGACAGTGTTTTGTGACATAGAGGCAAGCATCAGGACTGTCCGTCAGAGGGGTGGTGGCCTTTCAGAGCCTGGCTAATCAGAGCACCTCACAGCTCTGAAAAATCTTACCCACTTCATCTGTAAGACTGAACACTTGAGGTAAAGATTACAGTGTAAGCATT